ATGATGATAAGGAGCCCCCTCCCTCAAAGGGGCACCATATAAGTGATATAATGTAAAGATTGTTGTAAGCTTAGGTGGTAATACATGTTATTTAAAAAATTAGAAGAAACAAATTGAATAATAGTAATACAAGGTAATATGTAAATGATTAAATTAACAATAAATGAATGAAAATTTGACAATTTTGAAAGAACTAATGTTTGGAATCGTGTGGATTTGGTAGATAAAAAAGAAAAACAATATTATGAAAAGTATATAAATAATATGTAAATAAGAAAATTTAACAATGAATGAAATTTAATAATTTTGAAAGAAATAATATTTGAAATCGTGTAGATTAGGTATGTAAAAATAATAATAATAATATTATGAAGAGTATATAAATAATTTGTAAATAAGAAAATTTGACAATAAATGAATGGTAATTTTAACAATTATGAAAGAAATAATATTTAAAATCGTGTAGATTTGGTAGGCAAAAAATGATGTGTAAATAAGAAGATTTAACAAAAATGAATGATAATTTAACAATTTTGAAAGATAATATTTGGAATCGTGTAGATTTGGTAGGTAAAAAACAATATTATGAAAAGTATATAATAAGAATATGGCGCAGGAACAAATGCAGTGGGCGGGATTATACAGAGCCAAGAGCCGGTATGGCGAATGAAGAATGATGCAGGAAAATCCATAAGGCGACAGAAGAGCGATGGCAAATGGTGGTCCAATCCGGTGAAAAGAAGATTTAGAAGAAATTAGTGAAAATGCTTAATAGAAGGGTGTGCCGGGAGGATGTGTATTCGTAGATGTGTAGAGATGAGTAAATTGCGTGCGACGTGAAGATGGTAAATGAAGTACTGTTGTGTGGGTGTATAAATGGAGGATGAATGCGGAGGGATCCGGTATAAGATTGGTATGAATTTCTAGCTTAAGTTATTATAAGTTATTGAATTAATATAGATTATTTGTAAATTGGTTGTGGGTAATTTATGAAAAACGGGAATACGAGTTATGAATTGTGTAATGCTTTATTCGTGTAGCAAATTATATAGTTTATTTATGGATTTAATTTGTTATATGGTATTATTTTAAAAAATTTATAAATGGAAGAAAAAATCAATTATTTGTTTAAAGATTATAATTTGAATTAAGATATGTATATTGGGTTCAGTTATGTATAAATAAGTTATGTAGATTATTTGTGAATTTGTTGTGTGAAATTTAAGAAATTAATAAATGAAAGCGAGTGTGTGTGTTATTGTATATTGTATTATATGTGTAGGATTATAGAATTTATATTAAGAATAAATTATGGGTAAATTATTTGTTTGTTATTGTTTATAAATAGGGGTATTAATCTATTTGGTAGAATGAATTAAATTGGAGTGTGTATGTTGGAACAATTAATGTATATAAACTTTTATGAGTGATTGGGTAATTTATTAGTTAATATGAGATTTTATAAATTTATTGGACATTGGTTAAGAATTGTGTGAATTAAATTGGGCAGCTTTGATATGATATAATGTGATGTGTGTTTTGTGTAATATTGCGGATAAATAATTTAAAGAGGAGAAGATGTTATGTGTAAATGACAAATCCTTTGAGTGAGTGTGGCAGCAAGATACATTACTTGAATTAAATATAAAATCCAGAATTATGATGGTAGACAGGTAAACAATCCATAAGTGTGATTTGCGTCCGAATACAGGAGGTGTGATTGCGCAGGAGGATGAATCCTTGTCAACGAAATCAGTATAGGCGGAGTAAGCAAACGATATGCTATGGTTGGCAGCGGGGAAAATAAGTTATCCAGATTAAAAAGATTTGTTCAATTTTTAAATATGTGTAAAGATGTGATGTAATGTATGAATATGAGTGTAAAATTGAATGATGATGAATCGCTTGGCAGGATTCCAAGAGTCCCAAAATTAATGTGCAGAGAATGATGAAATGTCCAGAAGTGTGTGATGGATGAAGAAAAATGAAGCGGCGGGGGGATTAATGGGAAAAAATTCCCGGACGGTTACCACAGGTGTGTGGGCGAATAGATTATTGTTAATTATATTAGTTAAATTATCAGTATGAATCTGTCGTTTATGAATTGTTGTAAAGCATGATTGCATTAATAAGTATATGTGTATAAATGACAAAAAGTTATTATTTTTTTTTGTTTTATGCAGATATGTGTGCAGATGGGCGTGCAGCAGGAGCGTACTGAAGACGGAGGCAGAAGGAAGGATCCATGATGGGCAGCAGACAGCGTGAGGGCAAAATGCAGTAGTTTTGCGGAAAAACGGAGCAAAGTTGCTGATGACGATACGTAAGCCAGATGATTGTGAAGATCCGAGGATGTGAGTTTAATGAGTTACAGATGTGTGATAAGTTAAGTAGATTAAGTGTTCCAAATGATTTAGATTGATTAGTGTGTGTATTATGTAAGAATTATTATAAGTGGAATAATTGTTTTGGTTAACAAGTATATTATTGATGAAAAGTGTAATAATGATGAAATGGTGAATAGTAAAGATTATGTATTTTGAATAAAATGTGATTTAAGTGGTGTTTGGATAATATTATTAAATGCATATGCGCTAGTTAATTATAAAAAATTGATTTATATGAATAATAAAGTTATGAAAAGTTATTTATGTTTTATTCGCTATGATTCATACCAAAATTGTCGTAGTAAGTCCAAATCCTGGAGTTCCAGCATGTAACTGACAAAACACAAATAATGCAGAGATAGCATAGGTGTAGAGAAAACAGCAATCCAATGGAGAAAACAGATAGCACTCAAACGGGTGGCTAAGTATTGGCGGCTGAGAGTGAGTCCCACGCTGCGGCACACCCAACAGAGAGGCGAGAATAAGCAGATCCAGATGTTCCAGGCCGAAAGATTACGGTAGTAACCAAAGCGTGAGGGCATATTTATTTATGTACAGAATATAGATGATAATAACATGAAGATGCGACATCGGTGCAGGGAAAAAGTGATGGCTGCAGCTCCATGTAAGTGCAGGTACAGTGGTGCAGCACTCCAAAAATAAATGCACAACACCAGATGGAAATAGTGCATAGATGTCCAAGGCAATCAGAATAGTGGGAGCCAGCAAGCAGCAGAGATAGTGTATTTGCTATCTGTAAAGGTAAGCAGCCGAACTTGCAGTCAATCAGTGTAGGCAACCAAATAGAGTTTGCAAGCGCGTGAAGACAAAATACTGGCCAGAATCCATAAACATGGATTTGTGGAGCTGAGAAACTGAATTGATTAGTTTAGGTTAGTATGAGAGAGAGGACAAATACCAGATAGAATAGAGTGTCCGAAGAAAATGTATGTATGTACCACATTCACACCAGGCAATCCCACCAGCACAGGCGCAGCGCGAAGATAAGGGACACGTGGCCAACACACAAACGGCCAGTGGCGCAGACAGGCAGCTGAAAACAGCCAACACGTCTGGGCACCGCGACTAGGCAGACACGGTCCCCACAAAGGAAACACAGCACCAGGCGCGCAAGATCACCCGGAGAATAAAAACGCAGCAACACACAGCAATTATTACAGATTTAATTCTGTAGAAAATTATTCTTCAATGATTATTTGGTGTATCAGTACAGAGCAGAAGCACATGCATGCCATTCAGTACAAATAACCCGACTGAAGAACAAAGTTTATGCTGACAACCACCACACTGGATACTGGGTGTACCAGTGGAATAGTGCCGTTAGCAGACAGAAAAGCTCTACAAAGGCGAGAGAGGCTTAAGTAGGCAGTTGAGTCGAATTATATCAAGCAACAAAGTTGGTGTAACGGAGGCAAGGCTCAAAAGCAAAATTATTTCACTCAAGGCGAGGAAAAAGAGGATAGAGAATAGAAAAGAGGAGAGATGTAAATTGTTAGCAACATTGGTAGGTAAGAGCACAAAAGACCCAGAATTTGAGTAGAAATAATTTCGGTGGCCTAGGCCAAGACGCGCTTTATCATATCGCTGAAATTGTCAGCATATACAAGCGCAAGTCAGCTGAAGCCACACATAAAGAAGCAGTTAATGAATATGTATGAATAAAAATTGAAGGAAAAGTTCGAGACCAAAAAACAAGTTGTGCACAGTCAACAAGCAGGTCGGAAACATAGTCCCCAATAATATAAAAGTATTTGGAAGAAAATGTATATAACAGAGAATACTGTTGCAAACGAAGCGCAAACGTGCCGCACAAAGGTGCCCCATACAAAAAGAAATTAGTATGGAAGAAAAAATGCGAGCGGCAACAGGCAGCACATCGTTAGCAAAAAATAAAGGTAAAAAACGAGCAGATTAGATTGAGGCATGATTAATTATGCTCAGTAAGAAAATTTATAAAGAAAAACAACAAGAGGAATAAATTACTGGATAAATTGTGCAATAAAAGTTAACTTAAGAATGTTGTATGAACAAAATAAATATGCGAATCAATTAATCAACAAAAGTAAATGAGGGGAAATGGTACTGAGTTACCAACGGAAGAAAGAAAAGAACAACAGTATGTTGAAAGAGAGTGAGAGGGGTAATACAACCAAGAGAGGCTGTGGGAGAGCCGATTTTAAACAGCTGTAGTTCGGAGCAGGCTAGTAACGTAGGTGAACGCCCTTTGCGAGCGTAAGCCATAAGCTTTTGTGAAAAATATATGAGTATGAATGGTTAGTTGCATAGGTCAGTGACGCATGTGTAAATGTATTTTCTTACTGAGGAAGTAAGTATGTACAATATGGGCATAAAGTTGATGTGGATGAGTTTAGATAAGTAATTTAATTATTTATTACAGAATTAAGTAAAATGCATGAAAATGCAAAAAAGGGAACGACAAAATGAATTATTTAATAATTGTGAAAAGAAATATAAAAAAGAAATAAACTAGAGAATGCAGAACAAAATAATAAATTATACTTTTGGATTGTGAGGGAACGAAAAAGTATTTTTTTTTTTATATACATTCTTTATTGTGACGCACAGGCCAGGTAAATGGGTACAACAGTTGCTTAAAATATAAATCTTATGACTAATCCATTACAGGTCTTTGTGTGCTTGAGACGAGAGGAGGCAACAGCGCAAGCAAAGCGCCTAGATCCTTCCAGGTTGATAAGATGGAGGGAAAGCGGGAAAAAAGCCGGAGCGATGATGATAAGGAGCCCCCTCCCTCAAAGGGGCACCATATAAGTGATATAATGTAAAGATTGTTGTAAGCTTAGGTGGTAATACATGTTATTTAAAAAATTAGAAGAAACAAATTGAATAATAGTAATACAAGGTAATATGTAAATGATTAAATTAACAATAAATGAATGAAAATTTGACAATTTTGAAAGAAATAATGTTTGGAATCGTGTGGATTTGGTAGATAAAAAAGAAAAACAATATTATGAAAAGTATATAAATAATATGTAAATAAGAAAATTTAACAATGAATGAAATTTAATAATTTTTAAAGAAATAATATTTGAAATCGTGTAGATTAGGTATGTAAAAATAATAATAATAATATTATGAAGAGTATATAAATAATTTGTAAATAAGAAAATTTGACAATAAATGAATGGTAATTTTAACAATTATGAAAGAAATAATATTTAAAATCGTGTAGATTTGGTAGGCAAAAAATGATGTGTAAATAAGAAGATTTAACAAAAATGAATGATAATTTAACAATTTTGAAAGATAATATTTGGAATCGTGTAGATTTGGTAGGTAAAAAACAATATTATGAAAAGTATATAATAAGAATATGGCGCAGGAACAAATGCAGTGGGCGGGATTATACAGAGCCAAGAGCCGGTATGGCGAATGAAGAATGATGCAGGAAAATCCATAAGGCGACAGAAGAGCGATGGCAAATGGTGGTCCAATCCGGTGAAAAGAAGATTTAGAAGAAATTAGTGAAAATGCTTAATAGAAGGGTGTGCCGGGAGGATGTGTATTCGTAGATGTGTAGAGATGAGTAAATTGCGTGCGACGTGAAGATGGTAAATGAAGTACTGTTGTGTGGGTGTATAAATGGAGGATGAATGCGGAGGGATCCGGTATAAGATTGGTATGAATTTCTAGCTTAAGTTATTATAAGTTATTGAATTAATATAGATTATTTGTAAATTGGTTGTGGGTAATTTATGAAAAACGGGAATACGAGTTATGAATTGTGTAATGCTTTATTCGTGTAGCAAATTATATAGTTTATTTATGGATTTAATTTGTTATATGGTATTATTTTAAAAAATTTATAAATGGAAGAAAAAATCAATTATTTGTTTAAAGATTATAATTTGAATTAAGATATGTATATTGGGTTCAGTTATGTATAAATAAGTTATGTAGATTATTTGTGAATTTGTTGTGTGAAATTTAAGAAATTAATAAATGAAAGCGAGTGTGTGTGTTATTGTATATTGTATTATATGTGTAGGATTATAGAATTTATATTAAGAATAAATTATGGGTAAATTATTTGTTTGTTATTGTTTATAAATAGGGGTATTAATCTATTTGGTAGAATGAATTAAATTGGAGTGTGTATGTTGGAACAATTAATGTATATAAACTTTTATGAGTGATTGGGTAATTTATTAGTTAATATGAGATTTTATAAATTTATTGGACATTGGTTAAGAATTGTGTGAATTAAATTGGGCAGCTTTGATATGATATAATGTGATGTGTGTTTTGTGTAATATTGCGGATAAATAATTTAAAGAGGAGAAGATGTTATGTGTAAATGACAAATCCTTTGAGTGAGTGTGGCAGCAAGATACATTACTTGAATTAAATATAAAATCCAGAATTATGATGGTAGACAGGTAAACAATCCATAAGTGTGATTTGCGTCCGAATACAGGAGGTGTGATTGCGCAGGAGGATGAATCCTTGTCAACGAAATCAGTATAGGCGGAGTAAGCAAACGATATGCTATGGTTGGCAGCGGGGAAAATAAGTTATCCAGATTAAAAAGATTTGTTCAATTTTTAAATATGTGTAAAGATGTGATGTAATGTATGAATATGAGTGTAAAATTGAATGATGATGAATCGCTTGGCAGGATTCCAAGAGTCCCAAAATTAATGTGCAGAGAATGATGAAATGTCCAGAAGTGTGTGATGGATGAAGAAAAATGAAGCGGCGGGGGGATTAATGGGAAAAAATTCCCGGACGGTTACCACAGGTGTGTGGGCGAATAGATTATTGTTAATTATATTAGTTAAATTATCAGTATGAATCTGTCGTTTATGAATTGTTGTAAAGCATGATTGCATTAATAAGTATATGTGTATAAATGACAAAAAGTTATTATTTTTTTTTGTTTTATGCAGATATGTGTGCAGATGGGCGTGCAGCAGGAGCGTACTGAAGACGGAGGCAGAAGGAAGGATCCATGATGGGCAGCAGACAGCGTGAGGGCAAAATGCAGTAGTTTTGCGGAAAAACGGAGCAAAGTTGCTGATGACGATACGTAAGCCAGATGATTGTGAAGATCCGAGGATGTGAGTTTAATGAGTTACAGATGTGTGATAAGTTAAGTAGATTAAGTGTTCCAAATGATTTAGATTGATTAGTGTGTGTATTATGTAAGAATTATTATAAGTGGAATAATTGTTTTGGTTAACAAGTATATTATTGATGAAAAGTGTAATAATGATGAAATGGTGAATAGTAAAGATTATGTATTTTGAATAAAATGTGATTTAAGTGGTGTTTGGATAATATTATTAAATGCATATGCGCTAGTTAATTATAAAAAATTGATTTATATGAATAATAAAGTTATGAAAAGTTATTTATGTTTTATTCGCTATGATTCATACCAAAATTGTCGTAGTAAGTCCAAATCCTGGAGTTCCAGCATGTAACTGACAAAACACAAATAATGCAGAGATAGCATAGGTGTAGAGAAAACAGCAATCCAATGGAGAAAACAGATAGCACTCAAACGGGTGGCTAAGTATTGGCGGCTGAGAGTGAGTCCCACGCTGCGGCACACCCAACAGAGAGGCGAGAATAAGCAGATCCAGATGTTCCAGGCCGAAAGATTACGGTAGTAACCAAAGCGTGAGGGCATATTTATTTATGTACAGAATATAGATGATAATAACATGAAGATGCGACATCGGTGCAGGGAAAAAGTGATGGCTGCAGCTCCATGTAAGTGCAGGTACAGTGGTGCAGCACTCCAAAAATAAATGCACAACACCAGATGGAAATAGTGCATAGATGTCCAAGGCAATCAGAATAGTGGGAGCCAGCAAGCAGCAGAGATAGTGTATTTGCTATCTGTAAAGGTAAGCAGCCGAACTTGCAGTCAATCAGTGTAGGCAACCAAATAGAGTTTGCAAGCGCGTGAAGACAAAATACTGGCCAGAATCCATAAACATGGATTTGTGGAGCTGAGAAACTGAATTGATTAGTTTAGGTTAGTATGAGAGAGAGGACAAATACCAGATAGAATAGAGTGTCCGAAGAAAATGTATGTATGTACCACATTCACACCAGGCAATCCCACCAGCACAGGCGCAGCGCGAAGATAAGGGACACGTGGCCAACACACAAACGGCCAGTGGCGCAGACAGGCAGCTGAAAACAGCCAACACGTCTGGGCACCGCGACTAGGCAGACACGGTCCCCACAAAGGAAACACAGCACCAGGCGCGCAAGATCACCCGGAGAATAAAAACGCAGCAACACACAGCAATTATTACAGATTTAATTCTGTAGAAAATTATTCTTCAATGATTATTTGGTGTATCAGTACAGAGCAGAAGCACATGCATGCCATTCAGTACAAATAACCCGACTGAAGAACAAAGTTTATGCTGACAACCACCACACTGGATACTGGGTGTACCAGTGGAATAGTGCCGTTAGCAGACAGAAAAGCTCTACAAAGGCGAGAGAGGCTTAAGTAGGCAGTTGAGTCGAATTATATCAAGCAACAAAGTTGGTGTAACGGAGGCAAGGCTCAAAAGCAAAATTATTTCACTCAAGGCGAGGAAAAAGAGGATAGAGAATAGAAAAGAGGAGAGATGTAAATTGTTAGCAACATTGGTAGGTAAGAGCACAAAAGACCCAGAATTTGAGTAGAAATAATTTCGGTGGCCTAGGCCAAGACGCGCTTTATCATATCGCTGAAATTGTCAGCATATACAAGCGCAAGTCAGCTGAAGCCACACATAAAGAAGCAGTTAATGAATATGTATGAATAAAAATTGAAGGAAAAGTTCGAGACCAAAAAACAAGTTGTGCACAGTCAACAAGCAGGTCGGAAACATAGTCCCCAATAATATAAAAGTATTTGGAAGAAAATGTATATAACAGAGAATACTGTTGCAAACGAAGCGCAAACGTGCCGCACAAAGGTGCCCCATACAAAAAGAAATTAGTATGGAAGAAAAAATGCGAGCGGCAACAGGCAGCACATCGTTAGCAAAAAATAAAGGTAAAAAACGAGCAGATTAGATTGAGGCATGATTAATTATGCTCAGTAAGAAAATTTATAAAGAAAAACAACAAGAGGAATAAATTACTGGATAAATTGTGCAATAAAAGTTAACTTAAGAATGTTGTATGAACAAAATAAATATGCGAATCAATTAATCAACAAAAGTAAATGAGGGGAAATGGTACTGAGTTACCAACGGAAGAAAGAAAAGAACAACAGTATGTTGAAAGAGAGTGAGAGGGGTAATACAACCAAGAGAGGCTGTGGGAGAGCCGATTTTAAACAGCTGTAGTTCGGAGCAGGCTAGTAACGTAGGTGAACGCCCTTTGCGAGCGTAAGCCATAAGCTTTTGTGAAAAATATATGAGTATGAATGGTTAGTTGCATAGGTCAGTGACGCATGTGTAAATGTATTTTCTTACTGAGGAAGTAAGTATGTACAATATGGGCATAAAGTTGATGTGGATGAGTTTAGATAAGTAATTTAATTATTTATTACAGAATTAAGTAAAATGCATGAAAATGCAAAAAAGGGAACGACAAAATGAATTATTTAATAATTGTGAAAAGAAATATAAAAAAGAAATAAACTAGAGAATGCAGAACAAAATAATAAATTATACTTTTGGATTGTGAGGGAACGAAAAAGTATTTTTTTTTTTATATACATTCTTTATTGTGACGCACAGGCCAGGTAAATGGGTACAACAGTTGCTTAAAATATAAATCTTATGACTAATCCATTACAGGTCTTTGTGTGCTTGAGACGAGAGGAGGCAACAGCGCAAGCAAAGCGCCTAGATCCTTCCAGGTTGATAAGATGGAGGGAAAGCGGGAAAAAAGCCGGAGCGATGATGATAAGGAGCCCCCTCCCTCAAAGGGGCACCATATAAGTGATATAATGTAAAGATTGTTGTAAGCTTAGGTGGTAATACATGTTATTTAAAAAATTAGAAGAAACAAATTGAATAATAGTAATACAAGGTAATATGTAAATGATTAAATTAACAATAAATGAATGAAAATTTGACAATTTTGAAAGAAATAATGTTTGGAATCGTGTGGATTTGGTAGATAAAAAAGAAAAACAATATTATGAAAAGTATATAAATAATATGTAAATAAGAAAATTTAACAATGAATGAAATTTAATAATTTTTAAAGAAATAATATTTGAAATCGTGTAGATTAGGTATGTAAAAATAATAATAATAATATTATGAAGAGTATATAAATAATTTGTAAATAAGAAAATTTGACAATAAATGAATGGTAATTTTAACAATTATGAAAGAAATAATATTTAAAATCGTGTAGATTTGGTAGGCAAAAAATGATGTGTAAATAAGAAGATTTAACAAAAATGAATGATAATTTAACAATTTTGAAAGATAATATTTGGAATCGTGTAGATTTGGTAGGTAAAAAACAATATTATGAAAAGTATATAATAAGAATATGGCGCAGGAACAAATGCAGTGGGCGGGATTATACAGAGCCAAGAGCCGGTATGGCGAATGAAGAATGATGCAGGAAAATCCATAAGGCGACAGAAGAGCGATGGCAAATGGTGGTCCAATCCGGTGAAAAGAAGATTTAGAAGAAATTAGTGAAAATGCTTAATAGAAGGGTGTGCCGGGAGGATGTGTATTCGTAGATGTGTAGAGATGAGTAAATTGCGTGCGACGTGAAGATGGTAAATGAAGTACTGTTGTGTGGGTGTATAAATGGAGGATGAATGCGGAGGGATCCGGTATAAGATTGGTATGAATTTCTAGCTTAAGTTATTATAAGTTATTGAATTAATATAGATTATTTGTAAATTGGTTGTGGGTAATTTATGAAAAACGGGAATACGAGTTATGAATTGTGTAATGCTTTATTCGTGTAGCAAATTATATAGTTTATTTATGGATTTAATTTGTTATATGGTATTATTTTAAAAAATTTATAAATGGAAGAAAAAATCAATTATTTGTTTAAAGATTATAATTTGAATTAAGATATGTATATTGGGTTCAGTTATGTATAAATAAGTTATGTAGATTATTTGTGAATTTGTTGTGTGAAATTTAAGAAATTAATAAATGAAAGCGAGTGTGTGTGTTATTGTATATTGTATTATATGTGTAGGATTATAGAATTTATATTAAGAATAAATTATGGGTAAATTATTTGTTTGTTATTGTTTATAAATAGGGGTATTAATCTATTTGGTAGAATGAATTAAATTGGAGTGTGTATGTTGGAACAATTAATGTATATAAACTTTTATGAGTGATTGGGTAATTTATTAGTTAATATGAGATTTTATAAATTTATTGGACATTGGTTAAGAATTGTGTGAATTAAATTGGGCAGCTTTGATATGATATAATGTGATGTGTGTTTTGTGTAATATTGCGGATAAATAATTTAAAGAGGAGAAGATGTTATGTGTAAATGACAAATCCTTTGAGTGAGTGTGGCAGCAAGATACATTACTTGAATTAAATATAAAATCCAGAATTATGATGGTAGACAGGTAAACAATCCATAAGTGTGATTTGCGTCCGAATACAGGAGGTGTGATTGCGCAGGAGGATGAATCCTTGTCAACGAAATCAGTATAGGCGGAGTAAGCAAACGATATGCTATGGTTGGCAGCGGGGAAAATAAGTTATCCAGATTAAAAAGATTTGTTCAATTTTTAAATATGTGTAAAGATGTGATGTAATGTATGAATATGAGTGTAAAATTGAATGATGATGAATCGCTTGGCAGGATTCCAAGAGTCCCAAAATTAATGTGCAGAGAATGATGAAATGTCCAGAAGTGTGTGATGGATGAAGAAAAATGAAGCGGCGGGGGGATTAATGGGAAAAAATTCCCGGACGGTTACCACAGGTGTGTGGGCGAATAGATTATTGTTAATTATATTAGTTAAATTATCAGTATGAATCTGTCGTTTATGAATTGTTGTAAAGCATGATTGCATTAATAAGTATATGTGTATAAATGACAAAAAGTTATTATTTTTTTTTGTTTTATGCAGATATGTGTGCAGATGGGCGTGCAGCAGGAGCGTACTGAAGACGGAGGCAGAAGGAAGGATCCATGATGGGCAGCAGACAGCGTGAGGGCAAAATGCAGTAGTTTTGCGGAAAAACGGAGCAAAGTTGCTGATGACGATACGTAAGCCAGATGATTGTGAAGATCCGAGGATGTGAGTTTAATGAGTTACAGATGTGTGATAAGTTAAGTAGATTAAGTGTTCCAAATGATTTAGA